AAATCCCATAGACAAGTTCCTGATATGGTTTATGATGAAATTAACAATGTAATTTAAATAAATTGTTGTAAATAAAATTACTAAATTAAGAAAGATCTACGAATTGAAAATTGAGAAAAAAAATTTATTCCATAAATCGATTCCTTTTTTAAAGCTGAGTTCAATGGTGGTATTTTTTAAAAAATCTGATGTGTGGATCACATGATATTTCAATTTTTCTAAGTTCCCATTATAGGCCTTCTGCACTGTAGGAAGAATGTATTGTGATGATGGAATAATTGACCTTTATATTCCAAAGTATGGGTGGGGGATCGAGTTGCTTATTGATGGAGTGGGGATGAAGGAACACTATAACAGATTCAAAGAAGGTAAATGGAGAAAAGAATATAATTTTTTAATAGATATATAATTAGACATAATCTATTGACTGCTGAAATTTCTATCTAGATGGCAAGTACTCTCTAATACCAATGAAAGATTATATCATCTTAGATATAAGACAAACAGTGATGGCAAAAAAACTTTATCCTAAAACATGGTATGTTGTACCAAACAATAATTTTACAATTTTAACAATTTTAGAAAAAGGTAATAAATTCAATATATTAATTAAATATAAAGACAAAAAGCAAGAAAAAAATAATGATGAAATATTAAAATTATTAAGAAAAGATCAAACAATTATTATTTTTTTAACAATCAAAATAATATTATTATTATTTGTAATAATTTTAATAATTTTTTACAAATAAGTATTATTTTTGTTCCTTGTCTTTTTTTTTGGTTAGGAATTTTTTATCAACTTGTAAAAATTAAAGGGAAAAGTTTTGCTATTATTAATATAAATAAAGCTTTTGGTATATAATTATTGTACATATATATAATATTTTTGATATTTTTTTTTTTTTTGTAAAAAAAAAATAGTGCAGTACATACAAAAATTTTTCAATATCATTTCTTCTAGGCGATAATTTAGATAGTATGTGAAGTGAATTATCCTGAATATATATAGCCAAGTGCTTTATGTGGTTACATGGATGGTTCTTCAAGAAAAATACATGTTTTTAATAATTGTCTGTCTTAAGAAAATTGACATATAATATTATTAACCAATGCCACAAGTAATAATCATATGAAAGCTAGAGTCTTCAATAGTTTGTGATGTGAGGCATAATTCATGATGCAGAATAATTCATGATGCGAAGCATACTTCATGACATGGGACATAATTTGTGACGCAGGACTAAGGTTGTGGGAGAAACTCCTCCAGAAATCAATCGACAGAGTTTTGACAGGTTACACATTAATTGTTTATTAGAGTTTTGGCAGAGTTTCGCATTTGGGGTTTTTGCCAATCATCAGAGTTTCGACAGGTTACACATTAATTGTTCATTAGAGTTTTGACAGAGTTTTGACAGTCATTAAGAGGTTTCGCCCACAACCTTACACGGGACGTAATTTGTGACATGGGGCATAATTTGTGACACAGGGCATAATGATGCGAAGAAAACACAATCCTGAAATTATTTTTTTAAATTCTGAGGATTCCATTGATATCTTATCAATATATAGGATTTTGAGTTAAAGACTGGTGATGTCTTTAGATGATTGCCACTATAGGACATTTTATTTAAATGATTGACCTAAAAAATCATTACAAAAATAAGTCACTTTTGACTAAGTGAAAAAAACATCAGGTTAATTAATAAGTAGAGGAAGAAATGTTTATTTATTTAATTCACTTGTAAAAATAATTGTATAAAATAGCACAATTAGCACAAAATTTAGGAGACCTTTAGACCAAGCCAACTATATTAATTACAAATTTTATATCTCAATAAGGAATTTTGTGACATTAGAATTTCTATTTTCACAAGGGTTAACCATTAGAATTATTTTAATAAGGAAATGAATGTGATAAAACAAATGAGTATGAGAGAGATAATGACATTAGATCATTGTTTTTACAAGGGTTAACAAGGAATTATTAAAGATATTAATATATATATACTACTATTTTTAGAATGTTAATCATATTGTTACCATAAACAAGACCTTTTCAATATCTTACAAATTCCATATTAATTCCATATTAATTCCATACCCTTCATTACAGTTTTAAAAAATGGAAAATTTTTAGAATGTACATAAAATACTGAAATTCTGTAATTTATTTTATATGTCTGTATAAAACATATGGAAATTCCATATTTTATTTTTTATAGGGTATTTCGCATAACAAATATTGAAGGATTTATTATTCCACAATGCTATTTATTTGCAAATTTCAATCATTTAAAAATTTTATCAAATTTAATTACCAAATTTTTTGTTGAAAATTTTTAAAGATTTTGTTAATTTTTGTTTAGTATATTTAAAATGTCAAATTCAGTTGATTTTTCTGGCAAAGCTTCCAATATTCCAATGCAAGTTCAGCCAATGGAAATTTTTGAAATATCTTCAGATGAATCAATTAATAGTGATAAAACTGAGAGTTATGGAGATGAACAAAGATCACATAATAGAAAAACTATTGATCCTGAATGGATTAAATCATATCCATGGTTAAGAGTTGAAATTGTTAATGAAGAAACAACCCTATATTGTGAAATATGTAGAAATCAAAATGGGGAAACAAGATTTGCAAGAGGCACATCTAGTTTAAGATTATTAAGAATTAAAGAACACTTAAAAACCAAAGAACACAAAAAATCTGAAGAATTACTTGAAGCAGAACAATTTCAATCAATTCAATCAAATCAATTGAGCACATGTAAATTAACAATAATTTCATTAATGAGAAATATTTATTTTTTTGCTCAAAAAAAAATATTTCATTGAATATTTATCCTGATTTATGTGATTTAATGTCACTACAAATCAAAAATCAAAAGGAGTTAGTAATCAGTGGTAAAAGCTCCAATTTAAAATCTGCTTCCATAAAAAAACCATCATCATCTAAATCAACTTATGGAAGCTATACCAATGATAAATCTGGTTTTGAGTTTTTAGAAAGCATAGTTTCTGTTATACAAAAGGAGCTTTTTGAAGAATTGAATTTATCTCCATATTGGAGTGTGTTGATTGATGAGACAAACTCTGTTGATAATAGTAAATATCTAGCAATTGTAGGAAAATATATGGTAGATAATATACCATATATGAGATATTTAGGAATGATTGATTTAGAATCTACCACTGCTGAAAATATTTTCAATCAAGTAAGATTATTTTGTGACAATAATGAAATATCTTCTCAAAAAATAATTCATTTTGGAAGTGATGGTGGATCTAATATGATTGGTTATAGAAGTGGTGTTGCTGCAAGGCTTAAAAAAATGAATCCATTCATGTCATCTAATCATTGTGTATCACATAGGCTTCATCTGGCTGGAAAAGATGCTTCAGATGAAGTTTTATATTTTGAAAAATATGAAGGAATTTTAAGAAATCTTTATGTGTATTTTTCTAAATCACATAAAAGAAAAAATATTCTAGAATTGATGCAGGGTATTAATAATGAACCATCATTAGTAATATTAAACTTATGTGATACCAGATGGTTGTCTTTTTCCAACTCTGTGGGGAATTTATATAGAATAATGGATTCAGTGCTTGCAGCCCTCAATGAAGGAGTTGAAGAAGGTGATATACAAGCTGAATCATTATACAACCAGATAGATGAAGATTTTATTTTAGCAACAATGTACTTTGCTGATTTAACAGATATTCTAAAAAAATTAATCAATATATTTCAATTGGATTTTTTATCATTCTCTCAATTTAAAACAGAACTTGATATTGCAATTGATAAAATAGAGTGTGAATTTATTGGTAATGAAGATTTTCCACCTAAAAATGGTTTAATCTTCAAGAATTATTTAAATCAAAATCAACATGATCCTCCACTATTTGTAAAAGAATATTCAATTGCAATAATTAATGCTATTAAAAAAAGATTTCCACAATCTGAATTATATGGCTCATTTAGCATTTTTGATCCAAAAGAAATTCCAGATGATGATAACCAACTAGACTTATATGGAAATAAAGAAATAGAATTTCTTGGTAAATTTTATGGAGAAATTAAAATCATAGATGGAGATGAATTCCAAGAAATTATTCATAAAGATACACTTAATGAAGAATGGCCTTTAGTAAAAAATTTTCTCCGTTGTAATAAACTCACAGAAACAGGTTTTATTAATTTCTGGAAAAATATTTTTGATTCAAATGAGGATTTTTCATTTAATTATCCAAATATAGCTCTTCTAGTTAAAATAGCACTTATTATTCCTCTTTCAAATGCTAATGTTGAAAGAATATTTTCTCAAACAAAATTAATTAAGGATAAAATAAGAAACAAAATGAATATTAGCACATTAAATAAACATTTAATTATTAAATTAAATGGACCTGATATTGAGGATTTTAATTTTGAGAATGCATATGAACATTGGATAAATAAAAAAAGTAGAAGAAATTTTTTTAGAAGTAATTTTTGTAATTTAAAAAAAATAAATCGGAAAAAAATTTTTTTTTTAATTGGATAATTTGGATGTGCGCAAAAAAATTCTTGCAGATCGAATTTCGAACACTGTTTGTCAATCAACCAATATCGAATACCCCATTAAATTTTGTATATAGGTTTTTCCAAAATTCCGGTCAAAAAATTAGGAATTTCCTGTAATATATAGGAAGTATTAACTCCTTTTTGGGAGTTATTTATTTTCATAAATAATTGATATTTTTAATGATAATAGTTATTCATATCGTCTAAACTCTTCATCTTTGTTAAATTACTTTATTTTTTAATAGTTTGCCTTGGGGATAAAGATACATAGATGATAATAATATTTAGAAATAAAGAGAGAAAAATAATAATCGATGATATTATATTTTTATCTATAATATGAATAATAATTTACAAAATAATAAAATAATAATAATAATAATAATAATAATAATAATAATAATAAATAGTATTAAAATTAAAAAAATTTTAGTTTTTTTGTGGTGGGTAACCTGATCCTAAATTATTTTGTGGTGGGTAACCTGATCCTAAAATATTTTGCGGTGGATATGCATAGTTTGGAACACTAACACTTGGAGTAGGAGTAGGAATAGGAATAGGAAACGATACAGATAATGATGGATCATTTGAAGGTGGTAGTGAAGAAACTAAAGGATATCCACCACCAAAATTATTATTTGATGGAGGATAACCTTGTTGAATAGGTGGTGGCGGAAAAAAGCTTGCTGAATTTTGTTGTGGTGACATTAATGGGTTAATTGGTGGATAAATATTTTGAGGTGGATAGGCTGTTGAGTTTGCGATTTGAGCATATTGACCACTATTGTTGTTATTGATTGGAGGAATACTATTTAATTGACCACTATTGTTGTTATTGATTGGAGGAATGCTATTGAATTGACCACTATTATTGACTGAAAGTGGAGGTGGATATTGGTTACTGTTGTTGGCATTGATTGGAGGTGGATATTGGTTACTGTTGTTGGTATTGATTGGAGGTGGATATTGGTTATTATTGTTGATTGGAAGTGGATATTGGTTACTGTTGTTGGCATTTATTGGAGGAATAAATTGGTTACTATTGTTGGTATTTACTGGAGGTGGATATGCATTTGGGGGTACAAAAGCAGCTGGCGCTGACGTGGTAGAAGCAACAGCAGCAGGAGCAATAAAAGAAGCAGGTGGCGGCGATGAAACAGGCGATTCAGATTTTGGTCTTGAGGGTAGTTTTTTTCGTTGTAGAGGAATCCCTGCTCCACCTACTGCATAAAATGTCATTTCAAGAAAAACTTCTCCTGCATATTTACTACCATATTTAAGTTCATGCCATTCTAATCATTAACAATAAATTAATTAATTAATTAATTGTTTAACAAAAAGTAAATGCCTGCGAATGACAATTTTAATAGTTACCATCCCATTCACCCTTGGTTAAAACTTCATTTAGATCAAT